CATTATTAGTATGTACTATGTACTCTTCAAATGCTCAAACCATCTTTTTATTTGAACAATCTAAGTTATAATTTCTCTCACACACACACACACACACACACACACACACACACACACACACACACACACACACATATATATATATATATATATATATATATATATATATATATATATATATATATATATATATATATATATATATATATATATATATATATACAATTCAGTTTTAACCTACCCACGAAGCCGTACATTATATTATTTATCTTTGGTGTCCAATTCAAAATTGAAAACCATGAATACAAGAATTGTAATTGTTTCGTCAAGTACCTTATGCTCAGTTAGTATCTCTATGACTTTCCTTCAGTTTATTAAAATGTTGAAAATATATTCTTTCATTCAAAACAAATTAATAGAATGAAAGTAATAAATAACACACCCGTTATTGTCTAGCTTTGCTTTTTGCTATTAAGGATTAGAAGACCATAGAAGTTTGGCCCACAAAAACTGGAGAAAAATCAACTGTTGGAATTGCGATAAAGTATAAACTACTTAAGAAATTAAACTCTAAGCCTAATTAAAATTAGTGAGCCAACTAACTTTACTTCGTTGAGATTTTCCTCTCTAGCCGTATCTAGGGTTTTTTTCTCCATCTAGGGTTTCTGCCTAGTTTTCCGACAATTCCAATACTTTTCTGCGGTGGTTCCGACGTGTCTAGGTGACGAAGGAGTGCTTCGAACGACTAGCGTGATTAACTGAATGGCGTCGACATCCATTGGAGGAGAGATAGCAGGTCTCACGTCGAGATGGGCTAATCTCGTCCTTGAGGAGGAAGAGGGGACGTTGATCCCGGGCGAGGCGGAGGATGATGACGACCGGGATGAGAACGAGGAGGAGACTTGGGTATTGATCGGGCGGTTTCTAACGGAGAAAGCGATCAAAGTTGAATTCATGCGCCAAGTACTTGCTTCAGTCTGGCAACCGGTGCGTGGTGTGCAGGTGACGGAGGTGCAACCGAAATTGTTTATGTTTGTTTTCTATCATTACACGGATATACAGTATGTGTTGGAGGGAGAACCGTGGGCGTTCCAAAATCACACGCTAGTTTGCAAACAACTCCCGCCAGGTGCAATTCCAACGGAGGTTACTCTGAATACGGTGGAATTATGGGTACAATGCTATGACTTGCCGTTTGGTTACACTTCGGATAAAATTCTTGAGCAGGTTGGGAATTTTTTGGGGGAGTTTATTAAGCTGGATGATCGTTTCCTTGATGCGCCATGGCTAACGTATTATCGAATACGTGTTGCAATCCCGGTGGACAAACCGATCAAACGAAGAATGAGAATGTTGAAACGTGATAAGACATATTGCTGGATCAATTTCAAGTATGAAAGATTGCATACTTTTTGTTTTTACTGTGGAATGATGGGACATGCTTATAGATTTTGTCTGAAAGCTTGGAATGCAACTTTACCGGTGGATCAGTTCCCATATAGTGATGATTTGCGAGCAGGGGGAGTGCGTGGTCCGAGGGAGATAGGGGACCCATGGTTGGTGCAATTGGGGGGAAAGTCGAAGGGGGATGGTTCGCTGGCTGTGAGGAGGGGTACGGGTTTTGTGGAAGGGGAGGGCAGTTTAGAGGGAGAGGGCGGTTTGGAGGGAAAGGGTGATTTGGAGGGGGGACGGGTTATGCGTGCAGTAATGAAGAGGAGAAGGGGAATGGATGGGGGTGGTAGGGGGCATCGGGTGGGTGAGGGAGTGGAGGAGGAAAGAGATATAGCAATGACAGATGTTCAAAAAAACTTGCAGATGGTGGGTGCTGCGGTGCAGACCCGCCCGACCCAATGAGTACTTTGAGCTGGAACTGCCGTGGCTTGGGTAATCCACGAACAGTTCGGGAAATTGAGGACATGGTGTCCCGTAAGAAACCCGATTTTGTATTTCTAATGGAGACCAAGGTTAACCGGGATCATGCAGAACGGCTTCGGATTAAGCTTGGTTTTGATGGTCTTTTTAATGTTGATAATTCTGGATTGAGTGGAGGCTTGGCATTGTTATGGAGAACAAATAATACAGCAAGTTTAATAAGCTATTCTGATAATCATGTAGACATTGAAGTGAGTATGCCGGGGTTTGATAAATGGAGGATGACTGGTTTCTATGGCTTCTCGAAACGTCCACAGAGAAGGGAGTCGTGGGACCTTATTCGTTCATTAGTAGGAAAATCTGATCTGCCATGGGTAATCATTGGAGATTTTAATGATCTCTTATTTCAGTATGAGAAACGAGGAGGAAATCCCCATCCAGACAGCTTGTTACGGGGTTTTGGAGAGACAATTGAAGAGTGTGGTTTGACACAATTACCAATGTCTGGATATCCCTTTACTTGGGAGAAGGGGAAAGGAACACCAAACTGGATAGAGGAGAGATTGGATAAGGTTTTGGCCACTCAGGATTGGAGGGAGTTGGTAGCGGATGCAAATGTGCAGAATATTCTAACCCGAAAGTCAGATCACTCAGCTCTTTTCCTTGGGATTCTCAATCTTCGGGAAAGGAGGGGTGGCCTGAGAAGAGGTTTTAGATTTGAGATGGCATGGCTACATGATGAAGGATGTCGAGCGGTGGTGGAAAAATCATGGGGCGAAGGGAGAAGTAGGGGATTGCAGGAGTGTGTCACATTATGTGGTGACCGGTTAACACGCTGGGGTGGAGACCGATTCCATAAGTTTGGTGAAAAAATATTGTGCTTACGTAGAGAACAATTGCGCCTCAGAGGGTGTACGGATCCAGTGTCTCTAGCCGAGTTTCAGATATTAGAAGAATGCTTGACACGTGTTGAATTGCAAGAAGATACTTACTGGAGGCAGAGGGCCAAGCAGCATTGGCTCAAGGATGCGGATGCAAACACCAGGTTTTACCACAGGTATGCTTCTCATCGAAAGAAAAAGAATGCTATTACTAAAATTATGAATGATAATGGGGTTTGGATTGAGGGGGAAGCCATGAGGAATATTATCTTGGATTATTATCGTGGTATTTTTAACTCAAGTTCTCCTGTAATTAATAATGATTTCTTTGAGAGTATACAACCACGAGTAATGGCTATACAGAATGAGGGGTTATTGCGCCCATTTGAAGAGAGTGAGGTAAAATCTGCATTGTTTTCAATGTATCCTGATAAAGCACCAGGCCCGGATGGGATGAACCCCGGATTCTACCAACACTTCTGGGATGTGGTGGGGTCTGATGTTTCTTCTTATATTGTGAATTGTCTGAATACTTGCTCGTTACCTGGTAAACTGAATGAAACGAATATTATTTTGATCCCAAAGAAGAAAACCCCGGAGATGATCTCTGACTATAGGCCAATTGCTTTGAGTAATGTCATTTATAGGATTATGGCCAAGGTTATTACTGCCAGAATGAAACCACTAATGGAGAACATTATATCTGAGTCTCAAAGTGCGTTTATATCTGAGAGACTAATTACAGATAATATCTTGATAGCTGCGGAAGTTGGACATGTTGGGTTGGGCTTCCCTCCTATGTGGTAAATAGCTCATGTTTGGACCAAGCCAATTTGTATCCACTATAATTTTTGTTGGACCTCCACTCATCTTGAGCCCTAATTATTATTAGGAAAAAGGGCCAAATTAGCCACTGAACGTAACGCGATTGTGCAATCAGGCCACTCAACCTAAAAAAAATTCAATTAGCCCATTCAACAGCCCAAATTCGTCCAATTTCACCTCCCAGCCGGTAATGACCCCTTCTTCCCGGTTGAGCGGTGATGTGGCGGTACACTTGGCAATTTTTTTCCACTTTGTTGTATATGTTTATTTCCAGCATGTAATTAGACTACAAAAAGGCCAATTTGTAAGCAATCCCCATTTTCATTCTGCGAGGCTTACCCTAAATCTCAAAATCAATCCCCCTTCGAAATTCCCATTTTCTTTGCCTTTCATCTTCAATCGTGGAATTGTTCTTGATTTTGTATTTGTTTCTTGTTCCACGGTCGCCTTTCTTCTTCATTCGCATGTGTAGAAGAAACTCCAATGGCATTTTCGAATTCAAGGTCGTCTTCAAGTTCTCCAAGGATACCAAATCGCAATTATACTTTTCAATATGAGCCATGTTTGTACTGCAAATGTGGGCTGAAATCCCCATTATGCACAGCTCGTGAGAGTGGAAGAAAATTTTTTGGGTGTCAAAATTGGAAGGTTAGATTTCTTATTTTTGTTGTTTGTTATTTTGGTTTGAGATTGTATTAGGATTTGTTGTTTGTTATTTTCAGGGCAATGGATGTGGATTTTTGCTTTACGCTGAGGATTTGATGCAAGGAATGGGAGCTATGGAGTATGAATCTACCAAGATTGATGTAATGGAGTTAAAAAGGATTGTTGAAAGTTTAAGAGATGAAGTTGTGGTGGTCCAAACAAGATTGGGGAGGATTGAAGAAGCCACAACGAAGAAAATTGGTAGAATTGGCCATCATAATTGTTTTAAGATGGTTAAACTTGTAGGTGTTGGAGTTGTAATTGTTTTAGCTGCATTTGTATGGCTTAACCTGTTACGTTTATAAAAAAAAAAAAAAATCTGGACTTGCTTGTATTATGTAGATAAAGTGTTTATTTTTATAAAAATTGGTTGTTTATTCATTTGGATGTGTTCACTAGGGATGTGTTAAATAATTGGGATGTGTTAAATGGTTTATGAATGTTTGTGTTCACTGGTTTAAGCATACTATTAGCCATTCACAGCCACTCAAAGCATAAAACCAAAAGGATAAAACCAAAAAAAAGCATATTGTAAGCATAAGCATAAAACCAAACTGCAATCATAAGATAAAACCACAAGCCATACTCAGAACACTGTCCATAAATGGTTTAACCAAACTGCAAGTATAAGATAAAACCATAAGCCATACTCAGAGCTAAAACCATAAACTATAAGATAAAACCATAAGTCATACTCGAAGCTAAAAGCATAAGCCATGAAGTCAAAAGATAAACCATTAACCATAAATCATTCACATGTGTTCACTGGCTGTTTACATCAGTGTCAAAAAATGAAAGCATTAACCATATACATTAGGCCACACACAGTTTACTAAGTTAAGCCATTCACAGCCACTAACAAAAGATTAGGCCAAATGCAGTTTACTAAGTTAAGGCATTCACATCCACTAACAAAAGATTAGGCCACAACTTGTTAAGCCATTCACTGTTTCTTCTTGGCAGCAGTTGCACTTGTTTTCCCTCCTACTAATAGCACTTGTTGTCCTCTTCTTCCAGGCTACAAAATGCAAACAAAAGGTTAATACATTATGCATGTAATTTATAACCATGAATAGTACATAAATTTCAGAACCATGGATTAACTTACATTTAATATTTGTGCTCCAGTATTTGGGTTTATGTATACACCAAATCCACCACCAGATGTTTTCCTTTGTTTACTTTTCCTAGTAGTTGATGCAGAACCAGAGGCTGAAGCACCAACAGAGGTTGAAGCAGCAACAGAGGGTGAAGCACTAGCTGTAATAGAAGTTGAGGCAGCAACAGAAGCTAAGGCAGTAGGTGGCATAGAACTCTTTGCAGGACAAACTCTATTTTGATGTCCCTTTTGTTTACAAATCGAACATGTCATCACTCTACCTTGCCTTGATATTTTCCCAATTGGAGGTTCTGTAGGCTCTCTGGTTCTTTTTTTCTTGGGCCTACCAGTCATTCGCCTTGGTAAGGGAGCTAAGATTTCTTCACAATTAGTCCTAGGCCAGCTGATTTCCCCATTGAGAGGCTGGATAGTATGACTATAAATTCTCTTGTAAACTTCCTTGGAGTAGCATTGATCAATGTATTGTTCTGGATCTTTGCCTAGATCAAATATGGCACAACATGCATGTGCACAAGGTATACCTGTGAGGTCCCAAGATCTACATGAACATGTTTTTGCTTGTAGCTTCACCTTGAATTGTTGCATGCCCTTCTTGATCTCATAGCCATCATTCCCGTTGAAGTCAACATGCCAACCTATACTTTCAACTATGTTCTCATTCAGTTTTTTCATTATCCTAGGTCCAAAGTTACCAGGCCATTTCTCTACCTGTTTTCTACACCTTGCAATCCTTGTCATGGTAGCTACCCTTATATCTTCCAACATCTTCACTATTGGTTTGCTCCTTGCCTTAACAATCGTTCCATTAAAGGCCTCACACATGTTGTTATCCACTGAATCACACTTCACTTCTGTTCTCATAAAAGCCTTGCACCAGAATTTTGCTGGGTAGTTAGCCAAATCTGCTTTAGCTTGTGCATCCCTTTTTCCAACTCAGGAAAATCACAATTTGGATTATAAGATGGCAACCTATATTTCTTAGATGGAGGTGTGATATGTTGTGTAACTTCCTCTTCTTCAGATTCTTGAGTTGGTGGGTCTGCTGAGTCATAATAGTAGTCATCACTACATGCATCTCTCTCAGTTTTTTTTTTGGTACTCTCATCTAGGTTAGCTTCAATCTCTTTAGCTTTGGTGGTCTTAACATTTCCCTTAATTGCCTTCTCATTTCCCCTAACAGTATGCTCATCTTCCCCTTCATTCTCTTGTGTAACTCCTCCAATATCATTTTCCAAATCAGTAAAGTCATTGTCCTCACCCTCAGAGTCATTATCTTCTCCATCACCTTCATTACCTTCATCACCATTCCCTTCATCATCAGTCCCTTCATCACCATTCCCTTCATCATCAGTCCCTTCATCATCACCATTTCCTTCATCACCATTCCCCTCACACCCAGACATTGGAATTAAATCAGTCTCACCTATTCCATGATCCACATATATATCACATGACTTAAATCTAACTGCTATGCCAATAAGGTCTAACGTAGTTGCATCATTCCACAAAACTCTTAGTTTGTCTAATGGCTCATGGACTGCTTTATAATATAGTGTCTCTATTTTTCCATACTGCCCTTCTTTTATAGACCTGACTAAGTGTGGGAATGAAAGCAAATCAGGGTCTGTGTCAACATGCCAAACATCCCCATTTATGTACTGCAATTGTGATGAATCCTTAACAAAATTTCCCCCATGGTGTATTATTAGTTCAACACTGCCCATCACTACAGAACCTAACAACAAACAGCTCATTCTCAGCATTTAAAATAGCAATTGAATTAAACAAGTTATCCAATTGAATTAAACAGAATCTAACCACTTTTCTACTTTTTTTTTCTGGCTTTAGGGACCACAATGCTGACTAAATATTCCATTCAACAATGCAAGCAATTTTTTACTTTATTTTTAGGGTTTAGGGACCACAAATCTGACTCATTGTTCCATTCAAAAACAAAAGCATTATTTAACTGTATTCTTAGAGTTTAGGGACCACAGAAATTACTATATGCTACATTAACATTTCTGTACAACAATCCTCACCAAACGACAAGATGGACCACATAATACAACAACAAAATCATGTCCAGGGTGCAAACTCAGCTATCACCTAATACCACTGAACAAGTTATAGTAAAATATTACATGTGCAAAAACATAATCAAGAAAACAAACTTCTTTGTATATCATTCTGCAGTGCAACTGTGCAAATGTGTTACCAATGACAAAGAGTAATTGAAAAACAGAAACATCAAGTTCATTTACAAAGTTCATATATTCCCATTTCGAACCAAAAACCAAAGATCATATATTCGCTAGCTTTTCACAAAAACCCAACACCTAACTAAAAATTAACGCAGAACAACATACCTACAATCCACAAATTGAAAAAGCGCAGTAAAAGGCTCGAACGTCTTCAAACAACGATTCAGCTTCGCTTCTTCAAACTCTGCGATTTGGAGATTTCGAACATTGGATTTGAGAATCGCTTACAAAATTAGGGATTGCAGTCGGCTTTGTGTCGTTTTCATTACACGACAAATTAGAATATTTCGAACATTCGACTTTTCTATTACACGCTGGAACAGAAAAAAAATGAAGAAAATTACAATAGTTGTTTACTAATGCCAAGTGTACAGCCACATCACCGCTCAACCGGGAAGAAGGGGTCATTACCGGCTGGGAGGTGAAATTGGACGAATTTGGGCTGTTGAATGGGCTAATTGAATTTTTTTTAGGTTGAGTGGCCTGATTGCACAATCGCGTTACGTTCAGTGGCTAATTTGGCCCTTTTTCCTTATTATTACTATTATATATTTATATATAGTATATAATTAGGAATATTGAATTAAGGAATATATATGTTTATGAAGAATTGGAAACAAGGTGAGGTGGCAGCATCTTGTGAAAAGGAAACCAAATTACTTTCTTTTGGCTAAGTTGAGAAAAAGGAAACAACTTTCCTTTGTTTTTGGATGCATTCTCCCATATATATATGTTTGGCAGTGGAAGAAGTGTGCTAGCGTGCGGCAAACCCCTTTGGCTTCATCTTTCATTATTCTGTTCGACAGACAGAGAGACGAGAAGGGTGGTGAGATTTGCCAACTTCTTGGGTATTTTCTTCATCAAATATTTTGGAGGTCAGCTTATTTGTTCCAGGCATCTTTTGGGTATTCTCGTACTATTTGTATTCTTTTCATCTTGCTTGTGGTGGTTGAATATTTTAAGTACGAGTTGGTATTCTGTTTAGGCCTGTGGAATATAATAGAAGTCTTTGGCCTAGAATTATTGCATTTGATGATTTGTGGATGTTTGGCTCGTGTGGTAGCCTGAAACTTTGTACCCAAGATTTATTATAGTGGATTATTTGGTTGGTGGTGGTCCCGTGGTTTTTTCCCCAATTTGGGGTTTTCCACGTAAATTGTGTGTTCTTGTGTTTGATATTTATTTTTGGCTATTGTGTATCATCTTGTGTTTGTGCTCCTGTCGGTTATGTGATTTTTCATTGTCGCAGGAAGTGGGATTTTCCCAACAAAGTGGTATCAGAGCCCTGGTTGTTGATTGGGTACATTTGACATGGAGACAAATATGAGTAATATGGTACGATTGAATGGTAGAAATTATCACATTTGGAAGGCCAAGATGAAGGATCTTTTGTTTGTGAAGAAATTACATCTACCTGTGTTTGCAACTGCAAAGCCAGAAAGCATGTCAGACGAAGAGTGGGACTTTGAGCACCAACAAGTTTGTGGTTATATACGCCAATGGGTTGAAGATAATGTTATGAATCACATTATCAACGAGACACATGCCAGAAGCCTGTGGGATAAACTTGAGACCCTGTATGCTTCCAAGACAGGCAATAACAAATTGTTTTTGCTAAAACAATTGATGAATCTAAGATTCAGGGAAGGTACGTTGATCAATGATCATGTCAATGAGTTTCAGGGTGTTCTTGATCAGTTGTCTAGCATGGGTATCAAATTTGAGGATGAGGTACTTGGTCTCTGGTTGCTTAACACTCTACCTGATTCTTGGGAAACACTTCGAGTTTCTTTGACCAATTCTGCTCCCAACGGTGTTGTGACCATGGAGTATGTCAAGAGTGGTATCTTGAATGAAGAGTCAAGAAGAAGATCTCAAGACACCTCCACTTCTCAGTCAGATATTTTGGTTACAAATGATAGGGGGAGAAACAAACAAAGGGGTCAGAAGGGTAGAGATAAAAGCAGAAGTAAGTCAAGGTCATGGCACAAGGATGTTGAATGTTATCATTGTGGCAAGAAGGGTCACATCAAGAAAAATTGCTTCAAGTTGAAAAGGGAACAGAAGCAAGACAAGAAAGATGATCACACAGAGAACCAGGTTGCAACAGTTAGAGCAGATTTGCTTCTTGCTTGTGATGAGAACGCCGTCAACGTTACATGCCATGAGACAACTTGGATTGTAGATTCAGGAGCATCTTACCATGTTACACCAATGAAGGAATTCTTTACTTCATATACTCCAGGTGACTTTGGAGAGCTAAGAATGGATGATGATGGTCAGGTGAAGGTGATTGGTACCGGTACAGTTTGTCTTGAGACCAGCAATGGCACAAAGCTGGAACTTAAAAATGTAAAGCATGCACCGGGTATCAGACTGAATCTCATTTCTACAGGAAAACTCGATGATGATGGTTTCTGTTGTTTCTTTGGTGATGGACATTGGAAAATCACTAAAGGCTCGCTGGTTATTGCACGAGGTAACAAGTCTTCGAACTTGTACTCTTTACAAAGCTCTATTTCTGGTGATTCAGTGAATGTTTATCAGCAATAGAATGTGCATCAGAATTGTGGCATAAACGACTTGGACACATGAGTGTGAAGGGGATTGATTACCTTGCCAAGAAGAAGAAGCTTTCAGGAATAAAGGAAGCTAGATTGGACAGATGTGTTCATTGCCTGGCAGGGAAACAGAAAAGAGTTTCTTTTATGAGCAATTCTCCTTCAAAGAAGCCGGAGCCACTTGAGTTGATACATTCTGATGTGTGTGGACCAATGAAGGTTAGATCACTTGGAGGTGCATCTTACTTTGTGACCTTCATTGATGATTATTCTAGGAAACTCTGGGTTTACACTTTGAAGCACAAAAGTGATGTGTTTGGTGTGTTTAAAGAGTTTCATGCCCTTGTTGAGAGACAGACAGGGAAGAAATTGAAGTGCATCCGTACTGACAATGGCGGTGAGTATCGTGGCCCATTTGATGAGTATTGCAGAATGCACGGAATTAGACATCAGAAAACTCCTCCTAAAACTCCTCAGTTAAATGGCTTAGCAGAGAGGATGAACCGGACAATTATGGAGAGAGTCAGATGCATGCTTGATGATGCAAAGTTGCCTAGTTCATTTTGGGCTGAGGCAGTTTCCACAGCTGTTCATGTTATCAACTTATCTCCCGTTATTGCTTTGAATAATGAAGTTCCTGATAAGGTTTGGTGTGGAAAGGAAGTTTCTTATGATCACCTCAGAGTCTTCGGTTGCAAGGCGTTTGTGCATGTCCCAAGAGATGAGAGATCTAAATTGGACTCGAAGACTAGACAGTGCATTTTCATTGGTTATGGTCTTGATGAATTTGGCTACAAGCTGTATGATCCAGTTGAGAAGAAGCTTGTGAGAAGCCGAGATGTAGTGTTCTTTGAAGATCAAACTATTGAAGATGTTGACAAAGTGAGAAAGCCAGAATCTCAAGACAGCGGAAGTTTGGTTGACTGTGAGTCAGTTTCCAGCGAAGATACACATAATGTTGATGAGGTTCAAGAGAATGGCCAGAACGGTGATCTTGTACCAGACAATCAGGATGATACAGCTGATGTGGATGGTCATGTTGATGATGTTGTGCACCAGGAACAAGAAGTTCCTTTGCAGGTTCCAGTTGATCCTCTTAGAAGGTCTAACAGGGAACGGAGACCATCTACTCGTTACTCTTCCAGTCAGTATGTGCTATTAACTGATGGGGGAGAACCTGAGTTCTATGAAGAAGCTATGGAGAGTGAGCAAAAGAGACAATGGCTTGAGGCTATGCAGGACGAGATGAATTCCCTATATGCAAATGATACCTTTGAGTTGGTAAGGGCACCAAAGAACAGGAAAGCTTTGAAGAACAGGTGGGTCTACAGATTGAAACATGAAGAGGGCACTTCAGTTCCACGATTCAAAGCTCGACTGGTGGTGAAAGGTTTTAGCCAGAAGAAAGGTATTGATTTTGATGAAATTTTCTCTCCTGTTGTGAAATTTTCATCCATTAGAGTTGTGTTGGGTCTAGCAGCTCGTTTGGATTTA